TTTTCCCTATGGGTTACAGAGGAAACATGGCCTTACCAACAACTTATTTCAAATTTCTAGCCTCCAGAGCTATTAAACAGTACAATTTTGTTGTTTAAGTCAAAAGATGATGATGATGATGATAATAATAATAATAATATAGATTTCAGTACAAGAAAGTGGAATGCTGCTGTAACAAAAACCTAAAAATGTAGAAGTTGAGTCAGAACTGGATAATGAGTAGAAGCTGCCAGTGTTTAGAGGCACTTGACAGAGTATGCTTAGAACACCTTGGATTGTTGGTACAAATGTTAACAAAATTTCTCATAAGGGGCCCCCAAAATTGTGGAGAGCTGTAGAGAAAACTTCTATCATATTGGAGAATACACATATTATCAGGAACAGAATGTAGCTAGAAATATGAATGATAAAGATGTTTCTGGTGAATTTCTTTTTAACATAAATGAGGAAGTTATTGAATGCTGAAGGAAAGGTGATCATTGTCATAAAGTGGTAGAAAACTTCTCTAAAAGTAGAATTTGCAAGTGATGAAATTAGATATTTAACTGTAAGGAGTCTCAAGCAAAATATGGAAGATTTCTCTTTACTGCTATGGATTAAAATTTGTCCCCCAGAAATTCACATATTGCAGCTTTAATCCCCAGTGTGATGGTTATTTAGAGATTTCTCCTTCAAGAAATAATTAGATTTACATGAGGTCTTTACAATGAGGCCCGCATGATGAGATTAATGTCCTAATAAGAGAAAAAGATACCAAGATATCTCTCTCTCTCTCTCTCTCTCTCTCTCTACCATATGTGGACACATTGAGAAGGCAGTCACCTATAAACCAGGAAAAGAACTCGCAACAGAAACTAAATCAGCCAAAACCTTGATCTTGGACTTTCCAGACTCCAGATCTGTGAGACAATATATTTCTGTTGTATAAGCCAATCATTCTATGATTTGTTTTTTTTTTAATGGCAGACTAAGCTGACTAAGATAGTGTTTACAGTACACTGTTATAGGAAAGACATAAATTGAGAAAGAAACTTTTGAGCAGAAAGAAACCAGCATATTGTGATTTGGATGTCTCTGCCAATTCAGATAACATGTCCTGGGAAACAGGCCCCAAAGTATGGGTGGTCAACTAGGTACAACCATGTGCTGAGAGAGAAGTCATGTGACTTATGAATTCAAATAACCATTTCAACTGAAGCCAGAACTAGAGAGGTGGTTAACCAGAAAAGATCTGTGGATGACCCTTTTGTCTGATGACTTGAAACACTGTGGATTGAACAGGAGACCAACAAGTTTCCTGAGAATTTTATGCCTGCAGAAATGCTGTCAGACTGGACTGGAAAGGATAGAAATGGGATAAAATGAATGAAAAGTGACTACAAAGGCAGAGCCATAGATGCAGAGGTCTGGGCCAATGAGATATTTTCTGGCTGAAAGTGTAGGGCTATCACCCTTGTCAGTCTAAGGGGAGGGGCCAAGGCACTGGTAGACCTAGAACATGGGGCAGCTTCTCCAGTGGGTAAAAAGATCAGAGCCAGAACCTTAGCCCAGAAGAGAAAAAACTAAGCCACAGATAATTATTTCCATGCCTTTAAATCTAAAAGAATTTACCTTGATGGGTTTCACACTTGCTTGGGACTTGTGATCTTTTATTTTTCCCTGAACTCTCCATTTTGACATAGAAATTTTTATCATATGCCTGTCCCAGCATTGTGTTTCAAAAGCAGATTACTAGTTTTCTAGGTTCACCAGCCCAAAGATAGAAAAAAATTTTGTCCCAGGATGAACCATACCCAGACTCTCACTCATATAAAACTTAGCTTCTTGCCCAGCTGGTGTGGCTGAGTGGTTGAGCATCAACCCATGCACCAAGAGGTCACTGGTTCGATTCCTGGTCAGGGCACATGCCCAGGTTGTGGGCCCAATCCCCAGTGGGGGCGTGCAGGAGGCGGCCAATCAATGTTCTCACATCGATGTTTCTATCTCTCTCTCCCTCTCCCTTCCTCTCTCTCTAAAATCAATAAAGAAAAAAATTAAAAAATAAAAATTTAGACTCTTTAGATGATGAGATTTGGGACTTTTTGAGTTCTTTACACTTAGATAAGATATTGGCAGACTGCTAAGAGTTGAATTTGTCTTCTCGCCAAAAATTGTTGTAATTCTCAATAATACCCCAGATTGTGAAATTATTTTGAAATAGAGTCACATTGTAGATGTAAGTAGTTTTTTAAAAAGCTTTTAGGACATACAACTGTGAGACCATACATTTCTCTATTTTTGCAGCATTACCCCTCAAAAACAACTAATAAAGTTGGTATACATTTAAAAGTTTCATTGGCATAGACTCCACATCCAAATAATTTACTCATTTAAAATATACAATTCAGTGTTTTCTAGTATATTCAGACAATTGTACAACTATCACCAAAACTTAATTTTACTATTTTTTCCCACTTCACAAACAAATCCCATGTCAAAAGCTCAGCAGAGCTGGACAGAGCTGGGCTGTCAGCTGTCTAAGTAGCCAATTAAGAGAACAAGACACAATAAAGTAACAGTCACACATTTGCTAACTCAGTAAAATCATGTGAGCCAGGGGCTAAACCAGAGAAAGCATAGGCTCTCTCCTATTCTGTGCTTTCCTAGGGGAAATAGTCACCAGCTGAGGGTCAGGTGCACAGATGTGGGTTCATTTCACTCTTGAATTAGGCCCAAACAAAAGTATCCTGTAGTTTTATGGACCAGGGGGCCAAAAAGGGAGAGAGGAGGAAGGGTTAGGAGTGCACAAGTGCAAAGTATCTAATATTTTCTGTCTCTTGATGAGGAGATCTCAGCAGAGGCACCTGGGGAAAACCTCTGCTTCAGCCCCAGATAAAGAGGTCTCTCAATAATGGTGTCTGGATTAGGAAAGCAAATCTGCATAAGAACATGACTAGCTGTGGTGATGGTGGTAATGGTGGTGGTGTTAATGCAGAGTCTTTTATAAAAACCTTCAAAGACTGCAATGCATTGGCTGGCCTATGATAGATGAATGATAGATAGATGATAGATAGATAGATGATAGATAGATAGATGATAGATAGATAGATAGATAGATAGATAGATAGATAGATGATAGACAGATAGATAGAGAGATAGGTAGATAGATAGATGTGATAAATAGATGATAGATAGATAGACAGATAGACAGACAAACAGACAGATCGATAAACATATAGATAGATGTGATAGACAGATAGATGATAGATAGATAAATAGATAGATGATAGATAGATAGATGATAGATAGATAATAGATAGATAAATAGAAAGAAAGATGATACATAGAGATAGATGATAGATGGATCATAGTTAGATGATAGATAGATAGATAGATAGATAGATGATAGATTGGTAGATAGACAGATAGACAGTCAGATAGATAAATATATAGATAGATGTGATAGATAGATGATAGATAGATAGATAGATAGATAGATAGATAGATAGATAGATGTGATAGATAGATGATAGATTGGTAGATAGACAGATAGACAGACAGACAGATAGATAAATATATAGATAGATGTGATAGATAGATGATAGATAGATAGATAGATAGATAGATGTGATAGATGATAGATAGATGATAGATGATAGATAGAGATAGATGATAGATGGATCATAGATAGATGATAGATAGATAGGTAGATAGACAGATGGATAGACAGATGATAGATAGATAGATGTGATAGATAGATAGATATAGATAGATAGATAGATAGATGAGATAGATGATGATAGATAGATAGATAGATAGATAGATAGATAGATAGATAGATGATAGATAGATAGATGTGATAGATAGATAGATAGATAGATAGATAGATAGATAGATAGATAGATAAGATAGATAGATGATAATTGGATGGATGTTGTTACCAGAAAGGGGACTGGCCACAAATGTGTCTGCCTACAGCGGGACAGTAGTGTCTGGGTTCTGGACTGAGTGTAGGAAAAATGCAACAAGATGAGTGCAGGTGACTTTTAGATAACATTCATGAAAGCTGGAACAGTGAAGCAAGGAAGGGCCTAGGATAGAAGAAGCAACGGGGGAGACTAGGTGGGGAAATCAGCCCAGGCTGGGCCGCTATAGCTCTCTGGGAAGTCAGAGAAAAGGGGGCCTTGGGGACAGGTTCAGGGGGTTAGACCAGGATGAGCTGTCGCTGCCCAGTGCTCCCTGGTTGCAGGTCTCATGGGGTCCCTCAGAACTGAGGAGAGCTGCAGGGGAAGAAGGGGGGAAGGGAAAGGCAGGAGAGCTTCTGGGAGGAAATGTGCTGAGGGCATGCTCCTTGCTGGGAGAGCTCTCACTGGGCCCTTCCTTATGATGACGTCATCAGTGACGTCACAGAGCAGATCCCCCTACTGCTGCCAGACACCCCGGTGTGAACCGCAGGGACAGCGGCAGGAGCAGGTGGCCCTCAGCAGCGGAGTCTCCAGGTGAGGACAGCCGGGAGGTGGTGGCAGCGGCGTGTAGTACACAGGTGACTTGGAGTCATCCGTCCAGCCGGTCCCATCGCTCCTTCCTCAGTCCTCTCCAGTCACCGGCCCTGCCCCCATCACTGGCTCTGTCCCCGTCCCTGTCCCCAGCCCTGTCCCCATCACTGACCCTGTCCCCCGTCACCAGCCCTGTGCTTCGTCACCAGCCCTGTGTCCTGTCACCGGCCCTGCCCCCCATCCCTGGCACTGTCCCCATCACCAGTCCTGTCCCCATCACCGGCCCTGTCCCCTGTCACTGGCCCTGTGTTTCCACCACCAGCCCTGACCCCCATCACTGGCCCTGACCCCATCACCGGCCTGTTCCCCGTCCTCGGCCCTGTCCCCACCACCCCTCACCCCTCTCCATCCGACCTGACCTGACCCACCTGTCCCCTGACCCGGAGGGTGGCATCCCCAGATCTGGTCCCCACCTGTCTCTCTCAGGAACTCGGACAAAGGTGGGCCATGGCGCTGTCTCTGCCCGTGAGGCGCCTGTGGAAGGAGTACCTCGACATTTCTAAAGACCCCCCCGAGCTGTGCTCCGCGGGGCCCGTGGAGTTCAACATGCTCACGTGGAAGGCCGCGGTCATAGGGCCCCAGGGCAGCCCCTACGAGGGGGGGGTCTTCTTCCTAGATATTGTGTTCCCACGTTTTTACCCCTTCCAACCACCCAAGGTCCAATTCTGCACCCGCATTTACCATCCCAACGTCACTAAAGCTGGGCGCGTTGGTCTGGACATCCTGACCTCCGAGTGGTCGCCCGTACACACCATCTCCAAAGTACTGCTGTGCATCAGCTCCATGTTAAGTGATCCGAGCCCTCACCATATCCTGATTCCCGAGATCGCGACCGTGTACACAATAGACAGGCCGAAGTATGCATTACTGGCTCGAGCATGGACGAAGAAATATGCTATGTGATTGAAAAATGAAGGATAGGACCCTCACCCCAATAAAACAGTTCTTTCCCTTGGTTGTCTCGGACTGCTCTCTAGGACCGCCGTTCCGGTGTTCCTGGGCACGTCCCCAGCAGGGTGTGTGCAGGGGTGGGGGTTATGGGGGGACTTTACAGGTGGGGGGCCATGGGGATGGGGACCCTGGGAATGTGGGTCCATGGGGGTGGGAGAACCCTGGGGGTGAGGAGCCCTGGGGGTGGGGGAACCCATGAGGTAGGGGAACCCTGATGGTGGAGCAAAGTGGGGGGAGGGGGGAGTGTGAGACAGACCAGAGTTGATCCCCATTTGACCGAAAACTTTCTATGCTGATTGAGGAGGGACAGCAAGACCAGGGGGTGGGGGCTATAGGGGTGGGGAGCCATGGGGGCAGGGTGCTATGAAAGTGGGGCCCACAGGGGTGTGGGCCCTGGGGGTGGGGGCCATGGGGGTGGGGGCCCTGGGGGTAGAGTGGACCTGAGGGTGGGGCCTATAGGGGTGGGGGAGACCTGGGGGTGGGAAGACTTGAGCATGAGGTCTATGGAGGTTGGGGGATTTGGGGGGGGCCCTGAGGGTGGGGGCTATGGGGGTGGGGGACCTGGGGGTGGGGGTCATGGGGGTGCGGTCCCTAGGGGTGGGGGCCATGGGGGTGGGGGCCATGGGGTGGGGAGCCCTGGGGGGTGGGGCAAGGTTGGGGAAGGAGGGGTGTGAGACAGATCAGCGTTGATCCCCATTGGACCGAAAGCTTTCTCTGCTGATTGAGGAGGGACAGCAAGACCAGGGGGTGGAGTCTTCAGGACGAGGGGGCCGTCCCGCCAGTCAGTGGGATGACTGTCAGTGAGGATCCTTAGAGCTGACCACGGGGGGGACACACTGGGTGAAGACCACAGAGATGACTAGGCATCGCTTCTATGCGGAAGAACCTCCGTTTTCGGTTCCTGTTTCTGACCAAGATCAGTACGAACCCGAATCATCTACTTGGAGGTCTGAATTTAATGGGACAAAAATTAAGTGGATTAGGAGTTGGTACAAAATAAAATGATGCCTGACCAGTGTGGCTCAGTGGACTGAGCTTTGTCCCATGGACTGAGAGGTCCCAGCTAGATCCCAGGTCAGACCACCCAGTGTAGCTCAGTGGTTGAGCCTGGACCTATGCATCAAGAAGTCACAGATTGGATCCCAGTCAGGGCACATGCCCAGGTTGGGCCCTATCCCAGTGGGGGGCATGCAGGAAGCGGCCAATTGATGTTCTCTCTCATCGATGTTTCTATCTCTCCCTCTCCCTTCCTCTCTCTCTAAAATCAATAAAGGGAAAAAAATGGCACCAAGATTTCAGGTCAGGGCACATGCCTGGGTGTTGGGCTGAATCCCTAGTAAGTAGTGTGCAGGAGCAGGAGGCAGCCTATCGATGTTTCTCTCTCATATCAATGTTTCTCTCTCTCTCTCTCTCTCTCTCTCTCTCTCTCTCTCTCTCTCCTCTCTCTCTCTCTCTCTCTCTCTCTCTCCTTCCCTCCCTCCCTTTCACTCTCTCTCTAAAAAAAAAATCAGTAGAAAAATATCCTTGGGTAAGGATTAATAACAACAACAAAAAGAGTGATATAAATATATAAATGTGATCATATTGTATATAACCTTTTGAGAATGGCTTTATTTCAGCATAATGGTTTTGAGATTAATCAAAATTCTGTGTGTATCAATAGTCCATTACTACTTATTGCTGAGTAATATTCCATTGGATTAATATACTACAATGTTTATCCTTTCACACAATGAAGGGCATTTGAGTTGTTTCCATTTTGGGGAGAATAATGACTATAGCTACTATAAAGATTTGTGAACATAAGTTGTCATTTCTTGAGGGAAGTGGAATTGCTGGGTCATGTGGTAGTGTCTGTTTGGTTAATTTTATAGAAAACTGCAACATGTTTTTCCGAATGCCATATTGCATTCGTACAAGTAATTGTGAGATTTCAAGTTGTTCGCAATCCTTGTAAACACTTGGTATGGTCAGTAGTTTTTATTTTAGTCTCTACTAGGGGTGTCTCATGCTGGCTTTAATTTGCATTTCCATTATGGCTAATGACTTCGGACACCTGTTTATGTGCTTATTTATCATCTTCCTTAGTGACGTGCACAATCTTTTGTCCACTTTTTAATTGAATAGCTTGCTTTCCTCCTGTTGAGTTTTGAGACTTCATTATATATTCTAGATACAAATCCTTTATTTGGTGTGATTTCAAAATATATTCTCAGTCTGTAGATTATCTTTTTTTTTCTCTTCTGAATATCTGTTGGGGAGAAAATTATGTTAATTATGAGGACTTTTTTTATTATTATTTTTTTATGGATCGTGACCTTTTTTTTTTTTTTGATATGTGCCCCTAGCAAGAACCGAGCCCAGGACTCTCTGTTCCGCAGGCTGACGCTCCAACTGCTGAGCCAAACCATCCAGAGCTGGATCATGATTTTGAGGCAATGACTGATAACACTTTATCTCACACCATATAGTCCCTTTTCCTTTCCCATAACATACTTTAGATGTCTTGAGTATTACATCTACGGAAATTGAGAACCTCATCAAAAAGTTATAATTTGTGCTTTCAACCATCAAATATCTTATAAATGAGTCAATGAGAAAACAGCATTTTATTTTTACCCAGATGTTTATACTTTCCATTACAGTTTCTTTATTCCTCATGTTCCAAATTTCTTTCCATTATCACATTTTTGCTATATGAAGGATTTCTTTTAGAGTAGACGACAAATACTCTTAGGTTTCTTTCATCAGAGAATGTCCTTAATTCACTTTCACTTCTCAAAAATGTTTCTAGATATAAGGTTCTGGGTTTAGAATATCTTCCTTTCAGCATTTTAAAAATGCTCCAATTTCTTCTGATCTCCATAATTTCAAATTAAAAAACAACAACACTATAATCTATCAAATTGTTGTTCACATATAAATAGTGCATTATTGCTTTCTGAATATTTTTAAGATTTTTTTTTTTTTTTTTTTTTGGTCTTCAGTTTTCCATTCTTTGACCATGATGTGTCTGCGAGCAGATTTCTTTGGCTTTATTCTGTTTGGAGATCGGTGAGGTTTTTAAATATGTAGGTTCTGTGTTTTGTCAAATATGGGAAGTTCTCAGCTAGTGTTTCTCCAAATATTACTTCTGTACCAATCTTTTTTCCTTCTCTTTGTTTGATCACAGTAACCTGAGTGTCAGATATTTTATTATTCACCCATAGCTCCCTGGTAGTATGTTCATGCATATAAAGAAAAAAATATTTCCTTTTTATTTTTCAGATTAGATTATTTCTCTCCATCACTCTTGTTTTCTTTTTTTTAAATCTTCACCTGAGGACATTTTTCCATTTATTGTTCAGATAGAGTGGGAGGGAGAGAGAGGAAGAGAAAGAGAGAAACATCGACATGAAAGGGACACATCGAGTGGCTGCTGGGGACAAACTGCAACCAAGGTACATGCCCTTAGCGGGAACCTAACCCAGGTGTCTCTGGACCGCAGGCCGACGCTCTAACCACTGAGCCAAACTGGCCAGGGCTTGTCTCTTCATCACTCTTTACGTTCACTAAATATTTCCCCTGACATCATCTCCACTCTGCTCTTCAGTCTGTCCTTTTCTTTCTTTCTTTCTTTCTTTCTTTCTTTCTTTCTTTCTTTCTTTCTTTCTTCTTTCTTTCTTTCTTTCTTTCTTCTTTCTTTCTTTCTTTCTTTCTTTCTTTCTTCTTTCTTTCTTCTTTTCTCTCTCTTTCTTTCCTTCTTTCTTTCTCTCTCTCTTTCTTTCTTTCTTTCTTTCTCTCTCTCTCTTTCTCTCTCTCTCTTCCTTTCTTTCTCTCTCTCTTTCTCTCTTTCTTTCTCTCTCTCTTTCTCTTTCTTTCTTTCTCTCACTCTCTTTCTTTCTTTCAGTTAATATAGATTTAGTTTTAAGATTACCTTTTTAAAAAATTTATATCTTCTCTTTTCTAGCTAAAACTTTCAATCTAGCCATTAGTTTTAAAATTGTTTGGTTTTACTATAAACAATTTTTTAAAATAGATGTTCTAAAGGCTTTTTAAGATAATTCTGATATCTGTGTCACCTCAGTGCTGGGACATGTTCATTGTCTTTCCCCATGTGACTTGAAATTTTTCTGTTTATTTATAAGCTGGATAATTTTATATGGTACCATGGATATTTTCAGTGTTATGTTAGACTCCGTGTCTTGTTGAAATCAATTCCATTGCGTTCCCTCCTCAAGTTCTGACAAGGCTTCTGTGAGTTATTGTTCTGAGGTCAGGGCTATTTAAAAAGACCTTGCAATGCTCTGTGTATGCTTATCTATCTCATATTTTACGTTCCAAATTGATGTATGCTGTTTGGGGTCACCTATGGGCAAGCACAGCTTGGGGATGTATCCGGGGCTTTATAAACTTCAAAGAGTCACTTTGTTGAGGGTTTCTCTCTTGGCAGTCTGATACTTTCCAGTTCCCTCAGATGTCTTTTTCCAGAATCTTCAACCAGAAATTTCTGTTTTTTTTTTTCCAATTCTATCAATTTCTTCCAATTTACATTCCACAACTGCACAGATTGGTACCAAATAGCACAAAAGCAGGGAGAGAAAAAAAGCAATGATGGTTCACCCACACCCTTGAGACCACACATTTTCTGATTGGTAGGAATGTTTTCTTTCCAAGGGTTTGGCTCCTGAAGGTCCCCTATTGCTACTACTGCTGTCTCGACCACAAGATTGGCTTGGAAACTGAGATATGAGGATATCCAGAAAAAAATAGGGGCTATACATACCTTCTCTGAGCGGTAGGGGGCATCGTTTGGTTTTGTGAATCCTAAATTAGAGGGATTGTCTTAGAGTTGATGCTCACTTTCAGATTTGGGGTAGTGTTGAGTTCACAGCAGGGTATATCAGCATCAAAAACAAAAAACAAAAAAACAACAAAAAAAACCTGTAAAATCTCCACTGCTTCAATGACAC